CACAATATACATCGATGACCGCTTTCTTTCTCACACTCTCTCTCTATATGTCTATTTATCTATCCGAGACTGTTCATATCTATCTATCTATCTATCTATCTATCTATCTGTCTGTCTGTCTGTTCATATCTATCTATCTATCTATCTATCTATCTATCTATCTATCTATCTATCTATCTATCTCTGTTCCTCATCTATCTATCTATCTGTCTGTCTATTCATATCATATCTATCATCTGTCTGTCTGTTCATATCTATCTATCTAGTCTCTCCTCATATCTATCTATCTATCTATCTATCTATCTATGTCTGTTCATATCTATCTATCTATATATATATCTATCTATCGCGGTCTGTTCATATTTATCTCAGTCTCCTCATATCTCTCTGTCTATCTCATTCTGTTTACATCTATCTATCTATATCTATCTATCTATCTATCTATCTATCTATATATCTATATATATATATATATATCATTCTTTTATATTCTTTCATATCTATCTATCTATCTCGGTCTGTTCATATCTATGTCAGTCTCCTCATATCTATCTATCTCATTCTGTTTCCATCTATCTATCTATCTATCTATCTATCTGGGATAGGCTGCGCCAGGTGTAGCTTCACCCAATACCGCAAGTTGCTACAAAGCTAAAACATCAGCCTAAGATTTCGAGTCACCTTCTTAAATAACCTCGTCAAAGCAAGACTTTCATGTGGCTGACGGGCATGGTGTTCAACCCGATCTGAAATGTCTAAACTAATAGCTGTATCTAACAGATCAATGGTTCAAAATATCTTTGAGCGAGGGAAGCCTGAAGGTCTTAGAGAGGAACATTCTTTTCAAACCTTGTGAACTGACACTACAGAATTACAAACAAAGAACCGGACAAAAAAAAACTCGAATAGAAAATAATGTCATCATCAAGCTGTTGAATTTCCACACTACTTCAAACAAAAAGTTAGGAAGGAAACTCCCCCATCAACACGGGAAAGAGCAATAACAGTTACTGAACACCAGAAACCTAGTTTTCTAAAAAAATTCTACTAATAGAAAAAAATATATAACTTTCAATCGACACTAACGTTAACTGTTCGTTTAGTGAATAACGAATGTTTTCTTATAAGGAAACAGCTAATATTAACTTTACCATTTGTATTTCTATCAATACCTTCTCCAGGTCGTTAGATCTTATTTTAAATCAAGCCAAAACGTTTTATTTACTTCTAGGATGGTCGGCTGGAAAGTTTACAGTCTGACTAACATATAAAAGTAAGTAGACACACCAGTTAGTAGACTAAAATCACGCAAGAGTACCAGAATGAAACATGTAGCTGATTCTGGTATAAATCTATCAACTGAATAAACACAAAATGAAAACGTATCTTAGCCGACGCGTTTCGTCCTCTGAGTGACTTTCTTTGTAATCCTGGTCAGCCTATGAACTTTCCCGCCGAGCCTCGTAAAATTTCAATGAAAAATTCTTCAGCACTAAAATTCAACAAATATAAGGCTGGAAAGCCACTCAAGGTAGAGAATTACTGAATTAAATGTGTGATGTAAATGTAAGAGGAGGTAGAAGAAGATGAAGATTATGAGGATAAGTAGGATAGATAAAGATTGAATCTTGACTTAAAGAGGTTAAGATTGTAGTGTTCAGGGGAGCATCCCAGCGGTAGTCTGTTTCACAAAGAAGCAGTTCTTGGGAAGAAACGGTCTAAATGGCCTCTCTTCTTACAAATATAATACAGGAGAGATGTGAATGACTCGACTCCGTGAAAATCGCATCACGTTTCCTCTCTGTGAAGATATGAACTGAAGAAACTCAAGAGTTGAGTTCATCTGAACATTTGCCATGGAAATAGCGATAGAGTCTTGCGACGTTATATCTTTGACATAGAGGCAGCAGAATAGGTTATAAAACAGCACTAGAAGGGAGGACTGAGCAGCTCCAGCCTAGATATGGCAACAAGACACCATGTTTTGTTTTTTTTATGTCTAATCTGTGATATGCCAGAAATATTTTATTTGAATTTAATATGCATCTGATGACAAATAAGAATCCCCACCCCCGCTATACATTTAATTTTATATTCTCATGAAATTAGCATTTTGGTTTGCATATATGGATGACCTCCAGGGAGCTGAACGCACCTGCTGGTATTTATCCAAGCTCCTCACGAGTCGGGATGTGGCACAAGGTACACGCGCGATTTCGCTGTTAATCCCCGTTATGGATTCCGGGTTGAAATCCGGTACCAATAAATAACAAACGTCAGGAATGAGTATATGAAAATAATGTATTAACGTAATAATACAAACTGGTAATGCAAGTTAGTAGTTCCAGTAATGCGGGTTAGTAGCAATATATATATCTATACAGTCTTTGGTATTGAAGTATCGCTGTATGACTTTCTTACTGAGTCTACGTGCTCGCTCATTGTGACTCTTGCTCGCTACATTCGTTCTGTCTGTCTGTTACCTTCAATCTTTCACTCTCCCTCTTCGGTCTGTCTGTCTGTCGGGTCTTCACGTAGCAGTAGTATATGTATATACTGGGTGAGTCCATTTGTGTAAAAAGGGGAGGACCCCTCAACAATCCCAATATTGTAAGATTTTGGGAAACCCGAATCAACCGTATCGAGACGACGCACTGGCCCCAACCGAGGAGGGAAAAGATGGCTGGATGACCCGAATGATTGGTATTACTTAAGAAAGAGGAGGAGGGAGAAGGCAGAGACGGAGAGAGAGAGAGAGAGAGAGAGAGAGTGTGTGTGTGTGTGTGTGTGTGTGTGTGTGAAAAGGAGTGGGTTACATTGCTATGTGTCGAGAAATTTCTTGAATAAATCCAAAGAAGAAACAGCAACGTTATCGGTCCTTACCTGGCATCTCGGCTCTAGTCATTCCATTTGCGTTTTCTATAAATACTTTAATGGTATTTCTCCTGATAAGATTTCCTCATTACCTAACCTCATTACCTAACCTGTTCCTCTGAAATCTTTTATAAAAATCAAAATGGTATTAAAGTAGCAACTGCTATTAAGTTTGCTTTTTCTTTCTTTTCTTTTAATCATTTCACCCCAAGCAAGGCGAGAATGCCGCTAAGACGCAGGGAGTTACAGAATGTGAAATTGAAAGAGAAGACTGAGAATAGGGAGGATTGAGGAAAGAACGAAAGGTAACGGGGGTTCAGAAGATGGCAACTGACGTTGAATTAAAATTCTTGAAGATTGTAGTTATCAGGGAAGCAATAAACGGAAGGGAGTTTCACAGGTGGGAAGTGCGAGAAAAAACTGCTGGAGTAGAGAGGTTGCATTTAGCGGTTTCAGCAGTAAAAGTGTGGTATCTAGATGCCAATCTAGTAGCACGCTTAAATCGATGTAGTCAGAGCACCGGGTAAAAAAAAAAAAAGCTCAGAGTGGTTGCCATGGTTGCCATGAAAATATTTGTAGAAAAGACAGGGGGAAGCCACGTCACATTGATGAGAAAGTAACTGAAGTCAAGATGCCTGTTCAGGATCGATTGATGATCCTTCTTCGGAATTTGTCAAGAATCTCGAGATGTATAGCAAGAACACCAGACCAGATTTTGCAGCAGTATTCAATGCACGTACGAATGGTAGATTTGTAAATGTGCAAGAAGGACTCTGACGAGAAAAACCTTCTAGCACGACACAATGAACCAACTTTCCTAGCAGTAGATGCAGCTGTTGATTTGATATAGTCGTTCCTCTTCATGTCAGTGGAAAACGTGAGGCTAAGAAGGCGTAGAGTGTTGCTCTCCTGGAGTGTAGCATCAGGCAGAAAAAGTTCTCTGTTACGTAATATCACTTCTAATATCCAATCTTGAGATATATAGCAAGAGCACATGACCAGATTTTTCTGCAGTACTCAATGCACAGACGAATGGTAGATTTGTAAATGTGCAAGAAGGATTGTGACGCGAAAAACCTTCTAGCACGTCACAGTGAACCAACTTTCCTTGCAATAGATGCAGCTATCGATTCGATATAGTCGCTCCACCTCACGTCATTGGAAAAAATGAGGTCATGAAGGCTGAGAGAGTTGCTCTTCTGGAATCTAGCTCCAACTTTAAAAGGTTCAATCTGATGGTTAAATGACAGCAGATTTGTTTAGGAGACATTAATATTTACGAGCCATTTCTTGCTTCCTTAACCACTGACGATCGGAAGTCCTTTTCATGAGCAGCTGCCGGGTTTAGAACTCTAGTGAGTGTATATATATATATATATATATATATATATATATATATATATATATATATATATATATATACAGTATTACTGCTTGAAAAACCTCGGATGACTCAACTTGTAAACACCTGAGGGCAAATTGGTACTGTTTGAGGAAAAAATTGGAAGTAAAAAATCAGAACAAATCGAAAAAAATCGTCAAGTTCTTAAATCCTTGATCCAAAGAAAAAAAACAGCGAACATAAAGACAACGAAAGCGTAGAGGGCTCAATACGCTAAGTAGAGCGGTAAATTAGAATAAATCCTACCGAACCAAGCAAACCTACCTAGGTTTCACCTAAACGGATCTTTAGGGGAGACTAGTATATATATATATATATATAAAAAGAAATAATCACACAGAGAATCAATCAGAAGTATTAATGCGATTATTGGCGACATCCATCGCTAGAAAACATAATATATGCATTAAAATACTGTTAATCCATAGTGCGAGTTGATCCTCGTCGATAAACTTGATGTCTGTAGTTTTCAGTTTATTTGATGTTAAAATGCTAGTACTTACGAATAGTCCTCTATTCATCATCCGGCATGTGTTTTTTCCTTATAAAATCAAAACTTGGAGACGATATACTTGTATGTCGACCGAAAGATGTTTTTGAATATCTGCTATTATTGACGGTTGTGTAAGATCTCGGAACGCAAAGACGCAACGCTAGTTTTTTCAAAATTTTAAGTGAGAATTTTATTTAAATATTTTTGTGATGTGTTAAATCCACGTATTCT